AGAGTCAGAGTCAGAGTTTCTTTATTGTCATTCGCACCTCATGTGGTACATGTGGTGGAGCGAAATTATGTACGCAGGGTCCCAGTTACATCCAACTGGGACCCTGCGTACATAATTTCGCTCCACCACATTTATGATTGTTTATGTGGAATATTCTCATTTTTGTGTGTAAGCAGATGTGTGCGCTGCTGCTCTAATGATTAAAAGTAGTTTGGTTTGAACTAAAAGCTCCACCAAATTGGTACTAAGCTAAAACATATGCTAGTGGTTAAAGTTTTTCCTGTCCAATTGTGATTTGTTTTTGTCTGAGAACCATGACTTAGTTGTTACAGTTAGTTTAAATAATTTCACCTTTTTTTTTAAAGACACTTAGTATTAAAATTGTTATGTCTGTCAGCTCAGTTAAGTCCCATTGTTTCTTTCAGTAACAGATACTGTGTTTGGTTTAAAATATTCCAGCGTTAGACAATGTCATATTTTTCCCCCAAAATATATATATATTTATGTTCAATATTAAAAATACATGTTTTTTTTTTTTCATCACTATTTGTGTGACTATGAGGCTCCTTTTAAGAAAACATTGGGTTAGCCAACACCAGTGATAATTCCAGTCTTTTAAGAACCATTTCAACATGATTGCAAGCACATTTAAGCCTGGGAACATAAAGGAACTAAAGTAAACAATCCATCTCTGTTACTAAAACCTTATTTTTGTGTCACCTTTCCTAAATATGAATAAATGGAAGAGCGCCTAACTTTACTGTATGGCACCTAGAGTTTAATAACCTGGGATTTATTGCAGTCATTTGAACCATTGGTAATGCATACTACTCTCTGTATATCTATATTCAATTAGAATTTATATAAAAAATGTCAAATTGGGGCGATTAGAGGTAGATTACTGGAATCTAGGCCGAGATTAGCAGGATTGATTTGACTGACTTACCTTTACAAATTTTAATCAGACACAGACTAATTAGTGAAAATGGAATATAATTACATTTTCTATAAAAAGCTGTAACTCTCTATTTTTTAAAGCATTTCAGCTGCAAAATCAATAAATAAACATCATGAGAAATTCACTTGATTGACAAGATGCAACTTTTTTTTTATGTGAGAACAACTTTCAGATGTTTTGTTACATTTTTGAGCTCCAGTTTTTGAAGCAATGATTTGAGAACTTATCTAAAATAACTAACATAATTTAGCGTCACATTAAGAAGTGTGAAGGACATCAAAGTTGTTCAGATCAGCTGTGGACTTGACAATATGTTTTTGACATGTTTTTTTTTTTTTAAAGTTGTCCACAAGCATCAGGTTTGGTGTTCAGTTTCGTGGATAGTCCCAACAATGAGCAGCCAACCAACTGTAGCACACTCGTGTTTCAGTGAACAGGTGGTACCGCAGCATCGTCTTCATCAAGTTTTGCCGAATGTAATGTCAGCCCTAACTAAATTGAATTGAATTGAACTAATTAAAGCTGGTTTGTGTCTGGTTGCTGTTTGTTGCTCAGTCAGTTATTAGGGGCATGCATGCTTACTTACGTATTTTACAAAATATTCATTGACCTTTGACTTTACTCAGTTGTGTCATTTAGTTTGTTTTAGGTGCTTTGAAGTTACTTTTGTTCTAAAACATAGTTTAACTTTAAGTTTGACCTTGTTTTTTGTATTTCCTGTTTGTGTTGTTTCCATGTTCAAGTTCAAGTAAAGTTTTTTTCTCATTCTCATCACATGTGGTACCGGAGGTGGAACAAAATTATGTACTCAGGGTCCCAGTTACACTCAAAAATAACAAAAATATAAAGTATAAAAAGAAACAGTAAATAAGGATCTAAGATATACACTAAACAAACACCAAACAGTACTAAAAGATCTAAGAAATACGCTAAACTCTAATAGTACAAAACAGTACGGCATAGCAACAGCAGCTCGAACATGAGTCTGTGTGAGCAGATAGGTATGAATGAATACAGCAGCATAAGGTAGTCAGCAGCATGAGATCAGCAGCATTAATGATCAGCAGCACAGATAAGTCACATATCACCAATTAAAGTGTCATTACAGTGATTCACCTGGTTAGGGATTTATGAGTCTAACAGCTTCAGGGTAGAAGCTGTTCCTCAGTCTAGTGGTCCTATGCTAGTACCATTGTTAACACTTTAGGTTACTGATTTATTTTTATTATTGATCACCTGCCAATAATGGCAATCATTCTAAATAGCTAGATGTTTTGTGTTCCATCCATGCATGCTTATTTGTCCTAAATGTGACCACAAATGAAAGGGGTTGTCTGTCGGGGTTGGTTGAGATGAGTTGACATTTTGGGGCCACATACAACACTTTGACCTCAAACTTCACGAAGGTTTTCCGATCATCATGGACTTGACTTCCTTTTTCTTCATTGTAACATTGCTTTTTACAGTCAAACACTGACATTTCAGTTTAATGTTTATATACAATGTATAACACAGCATTCAACCTTTATAAATGGAAATGAAATGGCCACACAAAAATTATATTTAGGCTGAGAATTAAACACCAACCAATGTTTCATCTTTTTCATGTTGACCTAATAAAAACATGGTTGCACTAAATTGACTATTTTCTTTCTTTTTTTGGTAATATATAATACAAGTTTCCAGATGTTGCTACTAGCTTCACGTATACGTCTTCCACCTTTTCAGTAGTCATTCACATTATTGTGTGTGCTCTGTGTGTTTAGTGGCTGTGCATTTGCCCAGCTTTCTACTGGTTTTCTCTGGGTTCAAACACCTTGCTGCTGTGCCAAGCATTTGGACAGAAAGACTGGATTCTTTCCAGGTTCTTTCCAGTGGGTTCTGTAATACTCGCAAGCTGATTTAATTAAGGTACCACTGCAAGTTATAATTAAGCAGAGAGTTTTTCAGGGCCAAGAAAGAAGCCGTCTGCTTTTGAAGCAATGCAGTACATTGGCGATGACGTACAGAAATCTTTATGTGTGTGTTGATTATTTTTAAAAGTGCATTGCTCTTCTTTGTATTCTTGGTATTAAAGTAGTTGTTTTCTTGGTTGTTGTTGTTTTTTTTGGTCCCTCATATGAATTTGCTGTAGAGCTTCAGTAAATTGCAGAGAACATTAGTCTTTGCAGCTGCAAGTAATTCAATATATAGACTGTGTTTAAAGCTAACCTCCTCCTCTAATGGTAATAGTGCATTTAAGACATGATATTGGTGGTATTGAATCTTGGGTTGTATTGTGCTGGCAAGAAGCAAGGCTTAATTTTTATCTTTTAAAATACTCAATAAATGGTTTGACAAGCTTTTGTGTCTTTCAAACATTTTTAGTTGTTTTGTTTCTTTTCGGACTTTGGATCTTTTTTACTCTATTTCCTTTCAGTCCTTTTATCTGAGTATGGCAGCATATTGTGCAGTGTTTCCTTAAAATAATGAGGAAACTGGACAAATGATCAGGTGCTAGGCCTAAAATACAATCTCCAGTTGACCAACAGTATCTAAAGTCAAGTCTTTATAGGAGAGAAAAAAAAATTAAACCGTAACACAGGACATAAGAGATGCATCATCTTTCAGATGACTGTGTACTGTATGCCACAGTGTCAGATAATAACTTTATTCCAAAGAACCCTATTGGTGCTACATAACTATTTTTAGGTGTTGTAATATCCTGATGCATGCTCAATAATCCAGGTAGAAAAATCACCTTACCTTTTTTTCATCAATTCAATTAGAAAAATCTGAAGATATTTATGGCAGTCTGCTGGCGACAAAGTAAAGGTTACTAAGTTTTCTTTTTTTTTAATCAAAACATCAGGTTAATTCCTTAGGTTTTAAAGTATTTTAATGCCTGAATCATTCGAAGGTTAAAGTTAAGGGTCTTAACAAAATAAAATTACATTCCTCTGAAAATGGTCAAGTACCGGACAGAAAATAAGTAACCCAACAGCTATTTTTTTTTACAGAGAAACATCAAAATACCTTTATAATTCCTTAAACATATTATTTAAGTAAATTAAAAAAATAACACAAATCTGTCTCTTAAAAAAGAATTACACAAGACAATATTTAACATAAAACATTAAACTTAAGTTAGGACTTTAAATCACCTCCTTTTTCTGACCTTTATTTAACATTAGTTAGTGTAACTGTTCTGTGGAAAGTCAACAGTGTTCAAAGTTTTCTTTAAACGTAACCATGAAATTTCCCTTTGAGTATAAACCTCATCAAACAAAAAACAACCATTTCAGCATATCAAAGAGACAAACGTGAAACCACAGTACATGCAACTGTTATGTCTTGTTTCATTTCATGAGTTATTAAAAAAATGTCCACTTGTGAGACTGCTTTTAAACATGTCAACGTCTATGCAGTGCAATCAATACCTTTTCTAAATTAAATCATGCATGATATCTAGTGTTATGCAATATGGAGAGAAAATGGAACACAAATTAAGTTTGAAAACCATTGCACTGCCTTCGTTTACCATTTGCACATTTTGCCTGTTCTAATTTGACCCTTAAGGATTTTTATGCTGTATGTAAGTGGTAGAGTTGTTCGTGATGAGTTGAAAATTACATCATCTATCACTTCCAAGATCAAGCACAAGAAAAGAAGGCTAGATAATGCTTTCTCTGCAGTCCTCTGGTAAAATCCCAGACATATGGTCTGTGTCGACATGTCAGCACAGTCCCATGATAAAAAACTAAGAGAAAAATAAACTGTTCATGTCAGCATTGTTTTCTTATCACATTCAGAAAACTGCCTTCAGTATATCTTCTGTTTGCATTGTCTTTAGGATTCCTGTTTTTCATTCTATATTTTTTTTTCATGAATTTGTTGAAATGCCATAACCAGACATCAAATTTGTATATTGCATGCTTTATTTTAAGAGTTTTTAAAATCCTTATTGCCACGATCTTTACTCTAGCTAATTGAAAGATTAAATTTATGATAATTAACATAAATTTTATTTGGTAATAAAAGCACAATCTGTTTTCTCTTGCAGATGAGTCCCTTTTGGACTCACACACTAACCCAATGGATATTCTTGGAGACAATCCAGGTTCAACAAGGTTACCACTAGCCTTACCAGACTCCAACTATACTGCCTTTAAGAACCCAGAGTCACCTGTTGCCCTGTCATCCATTTCTGAACCAATCCCAGAAACTAGGACTGCAGACACAAAGCATTTTCATTGGAGTCATAATGCACATGAAAACTTTAAATCTAGAATTCCAAGAGATGCCCTTGCAGAGGAGCCACATATTCAGACAACTCTGAGCCCCAATGAACCTCTTCTTAGAACTTTTCCACAATTAGCGGAATCAGCTTTACAATCTGGGGCCTCCTTTTCTACATCTACAAATTTGAAGCAACTAACCCAATCAAATACATCCCCAGGTCCTTCTAATTTTACAGGCTTAACATCTCATCAAAGTCTTCAATATGAAGAAAGAGCAACTTCTACAAAGGTACAGGATGAAACATCACTGCAAACACAAGCAATAAAGCTCTTATCACCTGGTCAACCTCTACAACCTCCTAAGCTGTCTTTTTCTGAAGTTTTGACTAATAATTTTCAGAGTCAAATAGTAGATCCAAGCCATTTCAGCTCTAATCGAGAGGAGGTTATGCTTCATAATTACCACGTGCCTTTCATCACCTCCCACTCTACTTCATCTTTACCTGAACCCACTGAGGTGCCTTCAGAGAACTTCTACCCCACCAACACCATGGATGTGGACTGGGGATCTGGGGACTATTTGGAAACAATGTCTTTCTTCAGTCCAGATAGTGGTGACTATTCAGTGATCACCAAAGTGTTCTCAGATCCATATGATTTGGAGGAAGACACAGAAAAGTATGACACATCATTTCCTTCCAGAGTTGTCTTATCACCTTCATCTCTGCACCCTGTAAACATCTCACCTACTCCAAGCCTCATGACAGCATACAACACAATTGTTCCACCTAAATCCATTTATCCATCTACTGTCTCTACAGCAGCTGACTTTATAACAAAGCCTACTCCCACAGCCAGTACTGATGTATCTGGCATATCAGACATAGACTGGGGAGATGTTACAATTCAACCAACAGATGTCCTTTTGCCTGATATGAACAGCTTAGAGTATTACACCAATCAGTTGACCAAGGAGAGCAATGCTTCTGAAACTGTAGCTATACAAAGAGAGAATGTCATTGAGATATACAATAATACTACAACTATCACACCCACCACTGGCTTCACCAATAATCTGACTGATGACGAATCCTCTGGTGATTTGTTAGGGCTTGAACCTTATGATGAATCAACCACAGAAGCACCCACACAGGAGAGTCCTCAGGTGATTAATGCATCTGAGCCTTTTCTTGATCCTTCTTTAGTCCCAACTCGCATTCTTGATTCTACCTCTTCAACGTGGATTAATCAAGTGTCCACCACAGACTGGTCTGTGCACACTCTCACAGTAAACATGAAAACTACATTAGCTGATGTTTTGGAGCCTAGTGCAACACCTTTGCTGCCAGAAGACTCGATATCTTCTGACTCTCTTACAGATGTCCATTGGTTTGTTACAGACTCTTTTCAAGAAAGCACTGTAAATGTTACTACTGTCTTATCTGCAACTATTGCCTACTCTGCAGTTCCCACTGAACCTGGTACCAACCAAACCACTGTTACTACAGCAATGACATTTGAAGACTTATTTGTAACTGAGCAACCTTTCAATACCACTTCAGTTTCAAATGAGTCCACATCTCATAATGCCACCATAGTCCCCTCAATTATGTTAGGTGATCAGGGCATGACGGAAGATGGAGTTAACATCTCAGCCACAACGACCTTGATCCCAACAAGCAGTGAAGTTAATACGGTCTCTGTTGAAACCCCAAGTCCAGCTGGCACCACTACTCATCCTCAAACTACAACTGGAATTACTCCCACAGTTGAAACCTCAACCAGTGTCAACATCATCTCTACTACCAGCGAAAAGAAGACAACAACATCAAGACTGTACCTCTGCAAAGTGGACAGACCTGTTTATTTAACAACGATTGGTAAATCTCAAGTTTCAATTTAATTCATCTTGCTTAAATTTGCAAATGCCAGAAATGCAAACTTCAATTTTGCTGTTTAAATAAAAAATACGTACCTTCTGTTTTCGGTGCAAGGTTTTCCCTCTGGAGTCACTGTCGGATATGCCAGATCACAAGTCCGCAACATACTGAAAGTGGAATTCAACACGACAGTAGAGCTGCAGGTAATGCTATTTAATGTTTGTCGTTATTGTTTTCTTTAAAGATAATTATATACAAATTGGTAGCTTTGTTTACAGGTAAGAAGATATGTGTAAATTACCGGTAATAAAAGACACAATGTATAAAATTATTGTTGTTAAATGTTAGTTGAATTTTGGACGAAGTCGATTATTTAAAATTTACATGCATAATTTTCGATTACTGTTTGTAAATGCAGCATTTAAATTATCACTGTTCCTTGCTTTTTTGCATTTTTGCTTTGGAGTGAGGAACTGAAATTTTTTTCTTTTGTTCACTAAGATCATGATTGAAAAAAAAAGTATTTTGTTGACTATGTGAGCTGCCTTTGGGGGAAATTGTTCAGGGTTTACAGACAAGTAAAAACATCTTGTTGTGGGTTTTCTTAAGAATCTAGAAACAGAGTTCTCAGCAGACATTGAATGCAGCCTAACAAGCTATTTTTACGCAGTCATTCAGATAAAAGTAAATCAGGTAAATCTCTGTGAAATGCGGAAGCATTACCCGCTCTTTAACCACAAATCATTTAAAATATTTTTCACACATAAACTTCAGAGATTGTTTTGAGTGAAAATAAATGGCCATAAAGCAACAGTGGCTCATAGTTCAATTAGACAACTAGAGAGCTCCTCCCTCTCCCGCCCACTGCCTCCATCTGTGACATCTGGAGGAGCAAAGATGGCGACCAAAGAGGGCAACAACTCACAGCCAACACAGCAACTATTTGATTAACAGCAAGCCCAACTGGATCTGTGACACAAATTATTTGTAATATTTTTACAAAAAATAATAGAGTTGATAATTAATGTTATTTGAATTCAACAGTTATGTAAAACAGCTGGATGTTATAGAAGGAAAATATATTGTTTATAAGTAATGAGGATATAAACTCGATCTGAAGTCAGTAAATAACACAAACAACTCAGAAATTACTTATGAAGGGTATTATATAACAGTATTGGAGTAACGTATATTTATTCTTATTTACCTGTTCTGTAGTCGACAGAAAATATTCACTGCAGACCGAGTGATACTTTGAAGAAGGAAACTTGTCTCCACTTTGACTAATCAACTTCTTAATAGGTCAGGTTTGTATAGGGGAAACATAAAAATAGTCAAATATATAATATTATTTTACACTGTGTGAATATTACATATATCGGAGGCAATACCAAATTGTACTATTGAATAATTTGTGTAAAACTGTAGCATGATTCAGCATAGTGCTACACTCTGTATAACAATGTATGCCACAGAAGATAATATCTATTAGAAAACTCAATAATTTACAGTGATTACATCAGCTTTATAGGCTCATTTTAATTTTAAATGCTTAGCTTCAGTTATGGTCTGATCACATTCATACTAAGGTAAATAAGATCAAATCAGTTTTACTTGTGAAGTGAGACACGTTTCCCTTTTTCTCTTTGGTTGGTACAACCATAGCACACACAGCTCTGTGGCATTATCACATTTTTATATACCCGGGAAGCATTATAATATATTAATAACATTTTCATTAATATTATCATTAATTTTTATTTTATTTTATTTACGTAATCAGCCTTTACTGTTGGCTCTTTTGACAATATCTACAACTATGCTAAGTCCGGAGGCTTGCCCTCTCTGGTTATGGCTCCCGTTGTTCCAGTGAATCACAACGTCATGTAACCAATGCGCCGTCTAGTTGTCTTGTTTAACTCTATGCAGTGACTATAATACTCTGTTGAATAACTTGTTGTATCATTTGTTTCTGTAGGTTGTGAGTCCCCCGCCGAAATTTGTTTTCCGGGTGGTGTCGGGTCCAGTTGTATACACAGCCATATCTGTCATCAATGCTCTGCAACAACCCAATCAACGTTTCCTATATGTGGCTCCCAACTGGATCAAACCAGACCATAAACATCAAATCCACACAGGTAAACTGTCTCTTAAAGTTATTTTAAGACTGCAGAAGCAAATTTAAGTGCTATGAACACCATCAGAAAATAAACTCAGTCTCAGACTCACCATAACCCTTTTTTTTTTTTGCAGTTCTGCAGTTTGTTCCTGGTCATATAGATGTGCGTTACTGCACCTTCAGCGAGAGCATTGAGAAAGGTTTGACTAATGCCTTTGCAGAAGTGTGCCGACGCTCAAGAGAATCAACCAACTTCACAGTGCACGTGAGTGACACATTTATGTTTTGAGATGTTTGACTTTGCACCTAAAACTAACTGCAGTCTAGAGCATTTTGACTAGTAGCTGGTTTTTATCCGAGCTGGTTATCTCCATTGGAAGATATAACTTTATCAATTTAGTTTTTTATATGTATTTTTGCAACAAACCTCTTAATTATTCCATAGTTAGTGGTTTTTAAAATAGCATCCCAGAGTTAAATACACCTGCTGCAGTTAATGAAAAAAAGGTTCTGGCATGAATGAATAATGTTCATACTCAATCTTTGTCTTTTTGACACTTTTTAATTACCGTAGCTATAATTGGTGTTGGAGTACATGCCCAACCACACTCACAGGGTGGTCTTGTTCAACATATTATTTTCTACAATAAAGCACATACATCTCCTCTGCAGGTTTAAATACACTTTAAGCCTGTAAATGAGCATAATAATAGGACTTTTAAGTAAATTTACATTTAGTTTTGTTAACACAGGTCTCATTGATTTTTTTATAGTTTAGAAGTGTTTTGTGCAATCCATTAAAGCTAAGTCCTGAAATACATTGTGGATAACTTTAAAACTACCCGCAGCCACACTGCCAAGTTTTATTTCTCAAAACCTCTTACTAAAGCCTTATTCTTGTTCAAGGTTATAAACATCACTATGGCTACGTCCAAATATGAGCAACAGCTAATAAGTCAGCCAGTGGACATCACCTTTGCTGTCAGTGGTTCAAGGGGTTTTCTGCTGGGGTCAAACGTCAGCAATGCTCTGATAAAACTCACAGTGGTGGAATTCAGCTTTTATATCGGCTTTCCTGTACTGCAGATTGCTGAGCGTGAGTACCAGCTTGCACGTCTGAGCTCGAATCACATCACCAGCAATAATTTACGTTAAAGTTTATTTTGTTTTGTCTTTTTTTTTCCTAGCTTTTCATTACCCAGAGCTGAACACCAGTGATTTGCTTCGCTCCTCTTGGGTTAGAACAGGTACAATTTTAGCTTTTTAAAATAGTCCTGCAGCCTTTTACAGTGTCTATAAAACAGCGTTGATTATTTGTGTTTTGTGCTTGTAGTTCTCCTGGGTGTACTGGACCAGAAGCTGAGTGAAAGGACCTTTCAGCCTAACATTGAGCGTGGGATTGCAACATTACTTGGGGAGGCAATGGGGCAAATCAGGCGGATTAAAAGAGCCACAACTGTTGGCAACAGCAGTGTCCAGGTATTGTTTCCATAAACTGATTCATTACTTCAGTTAGAAGCTGTTACAAACAGTTACATTTTTAGTTATTCTAAAGTAAATTAAATTTAATGCTAAACTGTGCTGGCTTACAAAAAAAAGTGTTTCTCTTGTTAATCTCTAAAGCAGGAAGTTGGTAAAGGTAATGTATTCATCCCTAAATCTAGTAAAATGTAATTTTTTGTACAGTTTGTGTAATTGTAAATGATACAAGCTCTGTACGGACTTTGCTGGAGTACAGAGGATTCATTGTGCAACTGTTGCAGTGTTGGTTCCCTGTGACAGCCTTCGTGCTTTACTAATCAAGCTTCAGCTTTTGTGCGTCGTCTCTGCACCTGCACATCTCATGTCTAAGGGGACAGGATATGGCTTGATCGCCATGGCAACAGCATCCCATTTTCCCCAAAAGCAAGCCACTCAAAGACGACCACCTAAAGGGGGTTCAGATTTCAGCTCCTTTTTCTCGTTTCTTCACTTGATGGATGCTGTGAGCCACGGAGAAACTAATAGCAGATCAATTATTAATTATGCCTTTTTCAGTGTCTGCATCCTTCTGTGGGAATGATTAACAGTTGGTTCTTTTTGGTGTTAAAGAGGCATTAATGCAGAGTCTGAAAGAGAAAATCTGAGAACAAACTTAGATAAAAGAGACTTGTTATGAGATGTATATTTGATTTGAGCCCATGAAATCTTGGTGCATACTGTGAACTTAAAACAACGAGGCTGTCAGAGTGATAAATACCAACCTTGGTTAAATATCAGCCTTACTGATTCTGACCTTTCTGCCTCCTGATTTATCTCCATAAATCCCACAGAGTAAATTGGGAAAATGGAGGACTACATTAGGGGAGAATCCTCCATGTTTGTGTTTAATTTTAGGCCCTGGAATTCTTTATTGATTTATTTATTTTTCACAAACAAATCATTACACATACAAATACTGTTATGTACTTGCACTATTCATTTTTGACTATTGAATTAATTAACTCAGTGTGATACAGACTGAGGACGTGCACGTTTATTCCCATTTTTTAAATCTCTTGACGAATGCCCTGGACTGTCATGACAGAATAGGCATAGTGTGGTCTTCTGAGAAAATGTCTTATGAGTTGTCCTAGACAGATGAAAGAGGTGGCTGGAAGGGGGAGGTGTGTGGTAAAACACACATTCGCACTGCCCTCTTTCCACTCTAATAACTGTGTATGGACTAGATTTGACCCGGAATGAGGGTGCCTGCTCAGCCTTTTTTCTGTGTCAGCCCAGACGTGGCCTGAGCTTTAGGCTTTCCGGTAATGCAGACAGCAGACTGCGCTGTGCCTGAGGGTACCGAGTGGTGGGCTGGAAACACACGTGCATGCATGGATCAGTGTAGCAGGCAACATGCAGATTATTATAATAGAGTACACTTTAGTCAGAATATGTACTCTGGGTTGCCATGTGATAGTGCACTTTATATTTGTGTTTTTTTTTTTTCATTCAACCTTTATTGATTCAGGTTAGTCTCATTGAGTCGCGAGGACTCATTTACAAGAGAGACCTGTTTTAAACAAAGAACATACATGAAGTAAAGACAGCAATAGACAATCATATAAAAAAAAGCATATGAAATGTAAAGTAAATAAAATAAATTATATAAAAACGAAACAAAACCAGCTACATTATAAAGCGATGTAGAATAATAAAAATAGGAACATGTCTTAACAGTTGTTTAAAATCCCTTAGAGAGGTCAAAGTTGACAACTTCAGATCTTTTTGCAAGAAATGTCAGGTTACAGGAGCAGAGTAAGAGAAGGCCTTTTTGCCAAGTTCGGTCTGCATTGAGGTGACACTGCAGGTAATGATGTCTTGAGAGTGCACGCTGTAGCTGCACTGACAAAGTGACATGTAGGAGGAGATGTATGAAGGCAACAGCCCAAGAAGTGATTTAAAGATGGAAATGTACCAGTGTGAGAGTCTGCGTGAAGTTACTGATGACCAGTTAATCAGTGAATACAGGGTGCAGTGATGGGTACGGTAGTTACAGCCAGTTATGAATCTTAGAACACCGTGATAGACAGTGTCCAACATCTGCAGGGTGCTTGTAGGAGCATTCACGTAAATAATGTCACTGTAATCAATGAAGAGAAGGAAAGTCACAGTTACAAGCTTTCAGAGTTAAACAGGATCTATTTCTAAAAAAGAAACCTAATTTTACTTTAAATTTCTTTACTAAGTTTTCAACATGAGGATTAAAAGAGAGATGTAAATGGACCAAGATACCCAAGTATCTGTAAGAATCGACAAACTCAATAAGAACACCATTTGTAGATAAGATTTCTATCTTATTTACGAATAGTGTTCTTATTGAGTTTGTCGATTCTTACAAAGGACTGCTGGGACCGACTTCCTGTTTGAAAACAACATCCCTTTGGTTTTGTCAGCATTTAGCACAAGTTTGAGATGGAACAAATCTGACTGGATGATGTCAAAAGCAGACTGTAAACGTTGGAAAACCTCAACTGTTTTAGCTTGACAATAAACAACTGTGGCGTTGGCATAGAAAAGTAAGGATGCATCAGGGATGATCTGTCCTACATTGTTTATGTAGCTTGTGAAGAGGATGGGTCCTAAGACTGAGCCTTGTGGTACACCATTCTTGACAGACAGCTGGAAGAAATACCATTATGTTGGACACATTGCCTCCGATCTGAGAGATAGTTAGAGAACCAACCAATAGTGTGGTCTGAGAAACCAATTTCTGAGAGTTTATGACATAAAATGTCATGATCCACAGTGTCAAAAGCTTTAGACAGGTCTAAGTAAAGTGCAGCACATTAATCCTTAGCGTCCAGTGCATCAATGACATCATTAAAAACCTTCAGCAAAGCAGTCATTGTGCTGTGTTGTTTCCTGAAGCCAGGGAGGTAAGATGTTAAAAGAATTCAAATACTTCTTGACTTTAGAGTTTATCAATTTTTCTAAAACCTTACAGAGTTTAGAGATTGGTTGATAGTTGTTCAGTATAGTGGAGTCTCCTCCCTTGGGTAAAGGTAGAACAAAATCTGTTTTACAAGCGTTTGGAAGTGTGTTTTGGCTTATGGACGGACAGATTAAAGATATGGGACACCGGTTCTGTGTTAGGACTTTATAGTGCACCTTATTTTATACAAACATAAAGTAAATGTTTATTTTGCACAATAATGTTATATAATATTTTACTTTTACTGTGATGTTTGATTATTACATCACAGGGTGATCAAAGAAGCCAAATTTACAGAGGTTTATTTTAGTTATTCAAGTCGCATCATCTCAAAACTTATGAAAGTTTTAGCTTAAGGAGTGAGATTCTCCATTAAAAAATCATTTTAATACTGTAATTGTGACACATTGCTCATGAGGACCTTCAGACAGTCCATTCTTAATTTAGAAAGGGTAGTGCATCATCTGCCATGAATCTCATGTTCACTTTCAGAAGCGCATCTTTTCCAGTAGCTTGAGCAGCGCCTTTTAGCCATGAATGTTTCACACGGGAAACGTTGATCGGGTAATGCAACAAATGCGAACGTCATAATTTAAACATTGACTTGAAAATGAAGCTCACGTTTCTATAATTCATCTTCAAAGACGTTTGAAGAGATACAGGAAGAAATGCGGCCGTATCGTAAAAATGTAGCAGAAGAGAAATACATAGCTATGATTACTGAGAGGATTACAGTCCCACAGTCCCTCTGCAATGCAAATAAGGAAGTGAGGCTGCCTCTTTCCAACATCTGGTCACATTTATGTTTGGAAAGGCAAATTACAGGTCAGAAAACTCTTCAAGAGCGGTGGACACTGACAGCATTCATACAGCTTTGATTAGGACTGCTGATAGCTGTGTATTTACACGACTGTGAGGATAAAGCCTAGGCATTCTACAGTATTTATGTGTTTTAATATTCAGTGTTTTTGGTTTGACTAAAATCCTTTCTATCTTTTTTAATTATGTTTAAATACTCATCACAAGTTCTTAAAGTTTGAATTAATGTATGTGTAAGTCCAGCATGTGGTCAAAAAAACATATTTTCTAACTTTTTAGGAGAAATACGATTAAAATGTTTTGTATTTTAGATGAAATTTTATTTTAAAACAATTTATTACTTGAAATGGTAAACAACTGTTTTCAGTGTTGCATCAAACATGCTTAACAGTTTTTGCTGACCTATTCATTTATAATGAATGATTTATATGTTTTATAAATGTGTGTGCTTTACTTGATATCTTTTATGTGTTTAAGCGTGTACGTCGCTTCATGTGATGCTGATGTTTATATGTGTCCCATACTTTGCCCCGTGCCCTGTCTTCCAGGTTGTGAGTGCAATTCGGATGGATGGTACAGACAACCCTTTAGAAATAGTGTATTTTGTGGAAGGTCAGAGTGGTGAGAGGATGACTGCGGTTCATACAGCCAACCTGCTGAACAACCTGGACATTCAAAGAGCTGCCATTATCTTGGGATATCGTGTACAAGGCGTCTTGGCTCAGCGTGAGTATTTCTTTTTTTTAAATATATATTAAAGCAACATGTTCAAGTTAAATCAAGTTAAAGCTTCTATGGGAAGGAATTATTATTGCTAAAATAATTCAGCAATTACCGTAATTTCCAGACTATTGGGCGTACCCAAATATAAGCCGTGCCCACTAAATTTAAATAATAATAACAACTTTGTACATATATAGGCCACGCTTGTCTATAAGCTGCATGTAACACGACTGGTTAAAAAACATACAGTAGCGTACCAGGAAGTCATTGATCGCTATCTTCACCTTCCTGCTGCACAAGCTTGTGCTGTCCTCCATCATGCAGCTGTCTTTCAAAACAGGGGACACAATGGGGATGGAAGGAGAGAGCCTCCCCATTCTCTCCTCTCCTCCCCTCCCTGTTTCATTAGGCCACTGTGACCTGTTCGGTAATTTCATCAGTCAGATTTTTTTTTTTTTTTTTAAACCTTTTTTTATGCAGGTAGTCTCATCGAGTCACTAGAACCCACCCCCCAAGAGAGACGTGTGCAGAGCAGCTATGTGAGCGGCTGGGTGTGACGAGGCTAAATATTTTGGCGGCATGAAGCTCATTAGTCCATAAAAATGAAAAAAATCCATAAAAAAGCTACAGCATCGTATAAGCCGTGGTGTTCAAAGCATGTGAAAAAAGTATCGGCTTATAGTCCGGAAATTATGGTGTTAATCTTAACCTCTTGTTTGAATTTGCTTGTGAAATGGAATTGCTCTTTTTATTGGATAGTTGGGAAAAACATTTCCCTTGTTAGAGAAAATGGTATAATTTATTCGTAGTTTTACTTTTAGTTTGGAGAACTTGCAATAAGAAGGTACATTCTCTTAATGTATGCTTCATGTGTTTTTGTATGTTTGTGAACATTTTGAGTTTCATTACCTCTTTCTCTGCTCACTGTAAAAAAAACAAAAAAAACATCTTTCTTATTAAGAATCCTAACATGGGCTTAATGAGAGCCTCTCTGTGGAGTCATTTTCTTTTATTGGCTTAGTTCTGTTACAGTTCTTTTCCAGGGAATAAATTATTTTTAAATAAACTAATTGAAATTCACATAGAGGTTTATAACAGTTGAACTTTGATCAGCTTAACATTCATTATGTTGCTGTTAAAGCATCATATTTGGACTTGAAGCTGAAGTATTTTGATTTGTCTGTTTAAAGCTGTGGAGAAGGTGGCATCTTCGACCCCCGACACTGAGAACACCAACATGTGGATCATCATCGGGGTGGTGATTCCCCTCCTCGTGGTCATTATCATCATTTCCATCCTCTACTGGAAACTGTGTCGGACAGACAAGCTGGAGTTTCAGCCGGATGCTATGACCACCATCCAGCAAAGGCAGAAGGTAGAGCCTCACTGCGTACTTCACACTGATGCTGTTGCTTTTGGCCACAAGTTGCCTCTTTGATGCAACAAATTGTCTCTTGTTGCCAACTCCTTGCTGAGAAGGGAGACATGCAGTGCCAATTTTTTATTTACCTCCTCAGAGGTACTAAAAACACTTAGGTGAGGTTATTCTTGAAACTAGAACTAGACACACAGTGTTTTTTTTTTGTTTTTTTTACCAAGTCTTTTTAGACAACATTCTCAATTAAATTTATCTTTACACAACAGCAACATCACAGCCACATTACTCACAATGCTAATTTCTTTAAGCATACAGCTGGGTTGGTAGAATGATACTGCGTCAATTATTTAAATTACTTAATTAGCATATAACTACTTGGCAGCACAAAATACTTTTTTTTTCCCCAATGATATTACATATTTTCTACAGTTAAAAACCCTATAAATGTTGATCAAACACAGTATATTATTGATTATTATTATCTGGCATGTGTATTCATTTTGTATGCCAAGTTTTATTCAATGTAATAATATGTAAATCTGCTTGCAAACAAAACAAGATTTTTAAAAGAGTTTAAAGGTTTAAATCACCTAAAATATAAAGACAAAAACAAAGATATTGCTGCTTTAAGTTTTAAAAGCCTGTTTCCATGAGAGTGCTGCAAACTGGATTTTATTGTTTCTGCTTTAAGATGGGAATTTTAACAATTAAGAATTTCACTGAAGACGTATGAAAGCACGTGTTACATGATGGTGCTGGACATCAAGATGGATCTTGGCTGCTCTTAAAATACGTCAGAACTTTTCTGGCATTTTCTTCATCAAAGGAATGCTCTTGGCTATATTAACCTCATTTCAGTCTTTCCAAAGGACCTCATCTTTTGATTGATTTATTTATTTAATCAAAAACATTATTTGTACAGTTTTGTTGCTGTGGTGCTGCTTTATGTCAAAACACAGTTATTTGTTTTTATTCATAGCAAATGTCTATTTTCCTTGAAGTAAAAGGCTTGTAGGATATATGTTTTACTCTTGAAAGTCCCATACATGTCCTGAAGAACATTTTGATTATCATTGATATGACAGACTACATATTGTATTTAGAGGAATCATTAAACATTAAAACCACCTGCTTAATAATGTGTGCAAGTCATGTGTTTACAAATACAGCAATGAGATCTTTGCTCATGATTTTTGTACTTTGTGCCAGGCCGTAGGCAGAAGATTCATTGAAAAGTGTGAATTGTTGTGAAACGGCTTCACAATTTGTGGTTGTTTACTTCCACCTTTTGTGTTTGCAAATACAGTAGTCCTTCATTTATTGCAAGGGTTTCCGTTCTCAGCCCCCTGCGATGAGTAAAAAACCGCAATGTAGGAATAGTAATACATCCAGTAAGTAGTAGTTTATTATAGTAGTAGTAGTAGTAGTGTAATCATCCATCATTCAGCCAGTTGTGTGTCATGTCCAATCTTACTTTGAAAAACAACGAAAGAGCGATTTCGCGAAAGTCGAACCGAGAAGTAGCGAGGGACTACTGTAAACTGAATTCTGGGTTGTTTTGAGGCTGGGACAACACTTTTTTGTCATATTGCAGATGCAGATCTAGCAGGACTGCAAAATGATGCATTGCTATAAAATAGTCAATGTTATTGTTTGAAATTGTTAATATCTTGGCTAATGTGGCTGTTTATGCTAGAAACTCACAGAGGGACACGGAGCCAATTCATGCTAGGATTCAAAAACCTAAAAAAAGTTAGTGTTATTCAGAATCTAAAGATGGTGTTTAAAGTTAATAGAACAGTATGGGCTTATCATACAGAGAGGTTCCTATTCCCTGGGAAACAATAACTCCAATGTTTAACGCCCAAGCTAGTCTTATCTTTTTATTTTGTAGTGCAATTGCACAAACGCTTGTTCTGCTTCCAAGTTCACCGTACGTATATGATGTCAGTTAAAAGTTGCATTTCACATGTTACTGATGAGGCAATGCAAACAGCTAACGCCCAGCTCATGGAGTTACACTATATTTTATTCTCGAGTAAAACAGTGACTGAAACTTGGTCTGGCTAGTGGACAACAGTGCTCTTATACAGTACGTCTGCTGCTTTACGATAAAATTGTGGGTTTATTGTTGAAATGGCACACATACCTCATTAATAAAATACATCCTGTTTTAGTTAGTGGTGCTCCTGTGCATCTACTCTGCTTTGGAAATTGTTTGTGCACGTTTCAAGACCTTATCATTCTGTGTTTATCCTCCCCTTCACTACCTTTTATTGTGTTGAGCTGTAAATAAACCTGAGATAAAGCACTGAATCCCTCTGCAGACGTAACTAACACACAGTTTGTCCTTTCTGCACAATCATCTGTCACTTAACACCGCTACTCTTCTCTCAGCCCACTATGTCATTCAGTGAATCGAGAACTTCTCTTCACCCACCAGTCCCTCCAGCTAAAGGTGATGTTGAGTTTAGTGAGGAGGAAAAGTGGGAATATGAGGAGGAAGAGGAGGAGGAGGAAGAAGAAGAAGAAGAAGAAGAAGAAGAAGAAGGGGAGGAGGTGGAGGTTAAAATGGGGAAGGTACAGAGTAGTGTCTGGTGGCTTGTAGAAAATGTAGTCAGATGTAGTTTGTGTGTGGTTGTCTTGTTTTAGGTGTGTACTATTTGTGTATATTTGTAATTAATTATTCATATAAATAAAACATTAGTTAGTTAACAAATTGAGCAGTTTAAATATATTAGAGCTAAATAATTTATGGTCTAGTTCAAGGGTTCTCAAACATTTTGGGTTTTTGGGTTCAAACCCCAGTTTGAGAACCACTGGTCTAGTTGCTTTTTTATATCACCTGTAGTATGAATCTATTAGCTTGGTCCTTTTTGACATATGCATCATTGATTCTGCTTAGAAAACAGAAGCTCTTCTCAAGAGTAAACAAATTATAAACATGGATGAGGAAGAAGTGGTAGAAGAAGAGGAGGAGGAAGAAGAAGAAGAGGAGGAGGAGGAGGAGGAGGAAGAAGAGGACGAGGAAGATAAGAATAGAAAATTTAAAAAGAGAGAACCTCCATCTCAAGAGCAAAGACAACAAGAGATCAAAGCTGTGCTGAAGAAACCAGAGGGGATGAAAACAAAGGAGAGGATGAAAGTTTTGTCTAAAGGGAGGCAAGACAAGGAGGAGGTACATGTTGCAGTAGGAGATCTGTGGCTTCCCTTAATTTATTAACAGGAGTAAACAAATAGTATCCAGTAGCATGTCAGATTTGTGGACTGGTTTGTTTGTTGTCAGTAAATCCTTGTCACTGTGATGTGCAGTAGAAGTTGAAGTGTGTCATTTTGCATGTTTCAAACTGTTTATTGTGATTTCCTACTTTGCCATGAGGTAATAACTGATGGGTGAAACGCATGGCAGGAATCTTTAGCCGTGCGTTTTGCATTCAGAACAGCTTACATGTTTCACCCGGATGTTTTTCTTCTCAAAGGCTGGTCTTATTTTTGCGCTATGAAAAGCAGCGCACACAAACATAAGCTCGTTTATTCTGTTTTAGGATTAGTGGTATCACACGTTGGATTAGCAGTTTTATATCAACAAGCCTCTTCTAAGCTGCACGATTTACTTCAGCAAACTCAGCAGGTCTGGAGAATTACGGGGACATGTCATGTTCCTTTCTGCTTCTCTCATAGCCGTAACTCTGCTTAGGAGTTTTACAAACTAGGCACACATCCTCTGCCTACTCCTGTCCTGTTGGAAGGTCCTGAAGGCTTTACATAGAAGTAGTTTGACTGCAGCTCTTTCCAGACTTCCCCCCCCACCACCTCAAAGGAAAGCAAGCAACTCAGTGTGTACTCATACATCTCTCATTTACAAATAGACTCACAGACTATCTTTTTATTCATTTTTGCTTGTTTGTCTCTCACCAAAATACCCATTCAGTTATTCAGCATAATTATATTTCTAACTCTGAATTTATATCTCCGAGATCTGTCTAACGCTCCATGTGTTCAGCTTTGCTTTTGTTAGTTATTTCTATATTGACATCTATTTGCTTAGTAAGAGACAGCACCTATTATTATCCACCTAACAAAGGGTTTCTTAACTTTGTACCTTACTCTTCTGTCAACTTTAATGCAGCCCGAACCGCAATGTGTACCCCCACAAATCTTTAGGTCACTGGTTTGAATCCGGCTCGAAGGACCATAATGGTTGGATAATTTAATTATCCTATCATCAACTAATTAAATAAATAAGCCACGCAAGGAAAACCAGAAGATCTTGTCAACCCAGGTTTAATCTTGCAAGAGAAGCAGTGTTGAAAAACAAGCATTCAAGGTGTTACATGTCGCTCTGTCTCCAAGGTCTGCTCACGGAGAAAAAGTTAGCAAAAGCTTAAATACCCGTTATCAGACAGAGGCGAGGTCAAGACAACCTCTGCATCACAGCTCACATCTCTTGAAGTCGTCAGAGCTTATCAGTTATCAGACTCCTCTATGAGTAGGCAGAAAGGCTCTCTTGTCTTCACATACAAGGTTCTATATTAATTTGACAATATTAAGTGAAAAACATCCATGACCTTTACATCCCTCATCAGTTATATCAAAACAACTGGCTTGGCATTGTGATGTGTGCTGTTACTTCTATTGGCGTTTCGAGTTACCGTGGCAATGCAATTTGCAAACAAATTAGCCATTTTTTTCATTCAAAATGCCTGACAGAACTCAAAAGCTTCTAACTGATATAACTCAAATGTTCTTTGATATATTGAGCTGAAATTTGCTCTGGTCAGAGCTGAGAGCGAGTTTCATACATTCCTAATGCAAATGAAAAATCCAAGATGGCCACCTGAGATAAAAAGGAAAAATACTCTAAATCAGCTAATTTTAGAGATTTTGAGCTATTTGGTGATAGCTGAGAATCTTTCCCATCACATCACATACTGTATCCAAACCAAAAATCTAAGATGGCCACCAGTGCTACATTTAAATGGCTTTAACTCAGCCATTTTTACACACATAGAGCTGAAGTTCAGTATGATTATGGCTGAGAACGTTCCCCATCACATACTGAATCCAAATCAAAATCCAAAATGGCCACCAAAGCTTAAAAGAAAAAAAACAATTACTCGTTGATTTTATTATTTTTTTTTGTTGTTGCCATATTGAGCTGAAATTTGGTATAGTGGTAGTTGAGAGCGAACTCAAACATATAGTCCTGTTAAATCAAAATTTTAAATTGGCAGCAGTCTGGCAGTCCCCATCAATGTTTCTCCAGTAACTTTGTAGTTTTTCATATTGTACAGACTTATTTTTCTTTTATCTGTTCAGGATAAATTAACAATTCACTTGTGTGGTTTTGTATTTGGATTCCAATTAATCCTGATAAACTCCCTGTTGTAGAAGATTTTTCTCTGCCATTTGTGTTTGCTTTTAGTCTATATTCACTTTATTCTTCCTTTCTTTCCTTTTCTGCTGCCTCTTTCCTTAGTTGCAGGCTCCCAGTGTGAAAGGCTTTGATTTTGCCAAGCTCCATCTTGGCCAGCAGAATAAAGATGATGTCATGGTGATCCAGGAGCCCGTCCCGCCAGGGTCTGGCTCTGGTCCCCTCCCCACGTCTGCTAAAGATGGTTTCAGTCCAACTGAAAACGGTGAGGCACCCACACCCAAATCTAAAACCTCGGCCTCCTCCACCAAGGCGTCCCGTGGCGGTCGAAGGAGAGAAAGGTCAGTGGTACCTGTACTGCTGTGTAGCTCTGATGGTTTTTTAAGATTATACAAAGTCAAATAAGATCCTGTTTTGTTTTTTGACATAAATTGTCCTTGTAGGGGGTATTTTAAGCCCTGAGTTGTTTGTCATATATTACAAAAACAGCAGGCTGACATGGAAGGTTGTATTCTTTAAACTGTATTTATTCCCACTTATTTTATTGTTGTGATTTCATGGTTAGAGCCTACAGATTGTCTTTCCTTATGCTGCTTTTTGTGAGGAACAATTGACTATCAAATATTGATATGTAAACCCTTAAATTAGAATTAATAATGATTATTATACCCCAAATGAGGTCATTTTAGGGTCATTTTAATTAGTAAAGGCAGCCAACCAGACAATGTTTTGGCTAACTGATTAACTATAAATGTTTAGAGGGTGAGCTCTCTTTGCTTTTGCCAACAGGTCAATATAACAATACATTAAAGTTTACATGTTCCCTTTTTTATTGTGTAAAGATTCTAGTAGAGCGTTGTAGCTTGATGGTCTGTGCTGCGATCTTATAATCCTGAGACTGCCCAGGTTGTCAGGAAGGCCATCCAGTGTAAAACAACTGTCTAATCTTTTGTGTAACATTTGCACACTGTGGCAACCCCTGAAGAAGTGAGCAGCCAAAAGAAAAACAAGTAACAGCAAGAGGTTCTGTTAACATCATCTATTTTTTTATAAATCTTTGTTTTAATCAAATTAATGGCATCATAGCTTCAAAAAAGAATGTTCAGTTTCTTATTGCTGTGATGGGGGAGCGTTTTTTTTTTTATCATGCTTAATGTCAGCCCATTGGTTTCTTCTTAGATTTTTATTATTTATGTAAAGTGTGTGTGTTTTCTGGGTAGGATCTCCCCATCAGACGGTGACTCCGTGGTGAGTGACCACTCTAGCGAGCGGGAATCGACCGAGGAGAACCTGAGAGCCCACGCCACGCCCAGCGACAGCAAGCAGACCCGTAAGGTCCCCATCAATGTTTTAAATGGCAAGTGGCCTTGGCAACACTCAACATCGCTCCTCCAAACACAGAGCGCGAACACAAGACTGGGGGGAAGGGATGGAGGGCAAACTGAGTGGAAATTGAGATAAAGAGATAAAAACAAAGGCCGGCAGGGTTGACTGACATGAATGCAGCTCAGTTTAGGATGGGAGATTTAAAAATAAAAGCCGAAAGAGAAGTGACGTAAAGCTTACAGAGACAAACAGAAGAAAGTAACACAAACAGTAAGATTTCTGTTTGTGGTGAAGTGAAGTCCAAAGATAGAGAAGGAAATAGGAAACAGAAATTGGCTGAAGTTATTGTTATCTGACAGCTTGTTGATTGAATCAAGCTTGCCGTGCCACTCAGAGACAGTGTGCAGGAGCCAGACGCAGTCAGGCACACAGACTACACAGGCTGACTCACCCACACAGGAATGGGTTTTATTATTGCACAAACCTGTGCATGCCCTCCCACTAAGATTATAGAAAGAGTGAGTATAAACCACATGTAAGACATCTTTGTTTTTGCTCAGTCTTTGATCAGCAAGTTTTTGCTCATCAGAATGTACTTTCAGTTATTGACCGTCCATTAAAATCCCAAAGATGCCATTATATTTTGTTTATCTTCATCTTTTTTGTTACCTTAGTAAGTTTCTCTTTTGTTTTTATTGTGGTTTACAGGCAAGAATAGAATTGGTAAGAGTTTGTTCACTTTCTCTATATTTCCCCGTAGATCTCAGGCGTGACCCCTAGCAGCTGTGCTATGTGTTGTCCGTTTGTTTTGTTTTGGTAGTTTTGTGCTCTGCTTAGTTTCTCACCATCCATCAGCGTCTGCTGAGCTGTCAGTCAGAGGGTGGAAACAATAAACCTGACATAAAGGCCTCAAGCCATTGTCTGAAACCAAGTTTAGTTTTAAATCAACATTCATTCATGTTACTGCCAGGAACTTTTGCACATTATTTGTTAGAAGTCATGATTCAAATGTAGTCATCTCAGTGAAACAGAAGCTGTTTTATGTGTCATTCATACATGCTAAATGTTAAATCTCTGTTTTAAACCGCGTTGCCTAAATTGTGCAGAAACTGTTCTAACGTCTGCTCGTAATTTTTATCATCAGGTCCTCCTCCTATGAATGGTTCTCTGAATGATCAGCAGTCATCAGCTGCCATCTTTGAGCATGTTGATCGAATGTCTCGGGCCACAGACGCAAGCCGTAGACTCCCCAATAAAGTGCAGCTAATTGCCATGCAGCCCATGCCTATCCCACCACTTCACGGTCCACCCATCAATGACAAACTGTCAGACACAAACCAGATCAACAAAGAGGTTTGTTGCTTCTTCAGACTTTCTTTACAACTCCTATTTGTTCTATTTTCCCCTCCTTTATAAAAACACAGACCAATTTTTTTAGATAAAATCTTATTTACTTATTGTTTAAACTCTCTTACCTTTGTAATTCTTGCTATGTTAGATTATTTGTACTACTACTGACCATTCTTGATTTGAGGAGTGTTTTCTAAGAAGTATCATTCCCTGCAGATACAGGCAGCGCTGAGGCACAAGTCAGAGATTGAGCACCATCGTAACAAGATTCGTCTTCGTGCCAAGAGGAAGGGTCACTATGATTTTCCTGCAATGGATGACATGATTAATGACCTCAGTGATGCAAAGGACCAGGATCACATCTACCAAAAGGCCCAGAGTCAAATCGACAAGATCCTGGATCCGGACGCCCAAGTGCCCCCTACCTTCATGGAATCCAAGAAAAGGTTAGGACTTGTATTTGTGAAGAAAAAAAAAAGTTTTTTGGTTTTTTGAAGGGACAACATTCTTTTCTAGCTCAGTCAAAACAAATGTATACTGTAAAATGTAAGATTTTTAATTTGTTTTGTTTGTTTTTTAGTAGTCGTGGGAGGCGCTCTCCAAAACAGATACTGAGGGATCAGCTGAACGGAGGCATGATGGAAGCAGACAAAGACCACCTCATCAGTGAAGAAAGTGACGCCGTTTACAAAAAGTACCCAGGAGTTAACAATGTGGCCTACGTGGTGAGTAATTCAGAAGCATTTTAATGTTTATTAGCTCGTTTCACATCGTGTAACCGCTCCATATCTGTCCACATGTTAATATGTTTTGTTCATTTCAGTCGGACCCAGACCAAGTCCCAGGATCCCCTCAGAGGAGCCCTTCCCCCACAGACGATGTCTTCATCGGTCCTGCTTCCTCTCCTCCAGGCCATGCCCCTCCCCCACCCCCCTACATGCCTCCACAGCCCTCGATTGAGGAGGCGCGGCAACAGATGCACTCCCTGTTGGATGACGCCTTTGCCCTCGTGTCACCCACCTCTCAGAGCAGCACAGCAGGGATCACTCTACCAGGGGTCAACAGTAACCTCCACGGCTCCAGCCCTCCAGGCCATGGCCCCAAAGCATGGGCCCCCTCCTACCAAGCTCTGGGCCCTTTCCCATCTGTAAGACCCCCAATTATTAAGTTACTATTTTCAACAGAGTGAAAACTGTTCAGTAAACGTACTACTTTCGTGTTTGTCCATGGATGAAATGTTTCTGCAAGCTCATGTTCTTACACAACAGCATTATGTCAAGAGATAAAACAGTTTTAATCAAATTCATATTTTATGTGCAAAATCAGTTCAGTTCAATTCAGTTTATTTATAAAGCACCAAGTCACAACAGAAGTCATCATCAGGGCACTGAACAGAAACATTCATATATATAAAAAATAAGTTATTATTTATCTGAGGAGCAGACTGCTTTGAGTTTAACTTCATCGCAGAACTCTCATCTTGAGCATGAAGGCGACAGTGGAAAGGAAAAACTCCCTCATGAGGAAGAAACCTTTAGCAGAACCAGGCTCAGGACGAGCGGTCATCTGCTTCGACCGGCTGGGTTTGAGAGGAACAGGAAGGAGGAACAGATACACAATGGCAGGTTGAGAATCACATGTTAAGATAGAAATAGTATCAAATGCAAACTTTTCAGTTTTAACAATTCATTTTAAGAAATGAAGTCAATTTGTCTTCTAGTAGTCTAAGCCTATGGCAGCATAAGAAGCCAACTCTAACTATAGGATTTATCAAAAAGTAAAGTCCTAAGCCCAGTATTAAAACTGGACAATGTGTCAGCCTCACAGACAGAAACTGGAAGTTGGTTTCACAATAGAGGAGCCTGATAACTGAAAGATCTTCCTCCCATTCTGCTTTTATAAACTCTAGGAACCGCAAGTAAGCCTGTAGTTTGAGAACGAAGTGCTCTGTTAGGAAAATATGGAACAATAAGATCTTGAATATAAGATGGAGCTAGGTTGTTGAGAGCTTTGTAGAAGTAAGATTTTGAATTCAATTCTGAATTTGACAGGGAGCCAATGGAGAGAAGCTAAAACACCCAAAAGACTCATATCTGCTCATCACATCCCATTCTCAGTGTGTTTTCCTTTCATTCACCACAGGATACCCATAGAATCAAGTTCAATTGTTTCCTCTTTGCAGACTAATCAGTTAAGTATTCCTCCATCTGTTGGCTCCTTGGAGCTGCGACCTTACAGCCCTATCATCTATATAAAGTACACCACTTAAGACCTTGCAGGGATATTCTCTACATGGGTGTTCTGCTTTTCAGCAAGAGCTGTTTTTTAAGGAAAGTAACAATTATCTGTGAAGTTGAACAGTGATACAATTAATTCTAAAAATGAAAAATATCATGTGCGCAGATTCAACGCAGTGTATTCAGTCTGATTTTAGCCATGAAACCGAGACAAACTAGAAGCTATCTATAGCATGTTTATACTGCAGTGAAATTCATGCAGAGGGTTAGAGAGCTTAGCTAGAATTAGATAAAGGCTTTTAGTGCCAGTAAGTGTTATATGAGTAGAAGAATCATGAGTCATTCAGAGAAAACAGGGTTTGTTAGACATGGAGGAAATGGAAGAAGACGTTACTGGAAACTGAATAGCTTAGTCCACGTCAAACTACTGCAGTTGAGAATTTTTATTCTCATAAAGCATGGTTGTTTGTGTTTTGTAGCGTACTTTGTGATTAAAAAACAACAAAGATAGGAACTTGGTTACAAGTTAGAAGTCTATTTCCTATTCATAATGTCTGGATTTTGTTAGCCCGTTAGCTGCTTCAGGATAAGAGTCAGAAAGTGGAGCCATGAAAAATAAATAAGTTGTTTCTCTTCTTGCAGATCCTTTGCTGTTGTTTACAGAAATGAAAGAAAAATAGACAATTATCTTTATTTGCTTCTTGATAGTTTGTAACATCTTTTTCAAATAGATTCAAATATCTTTGAGAGCTTGGTTATCAGCGTTATTTACTTTAAGATGAACAGAATGCGTCTTTTTGTCCTCTCCAGAGATTCACTGAGATGTCCTCTGCTGCAGTTCAAGGCCTGACTCCAAGGTAAGCAGAGCCATCACTGCAAACTGAGCATTTATGTTCTAAACGATAACTTCGATGGCACCTTTTGCATTTAGTTCTGTTCCAAAACACTCAGAGAATGTCTGGACAGTATTTACCGGCTGATCCCTGCGTCAGTTCAGTTTTCCTCCGGTGAATTCACAGAGCTGGCACTTTATAAATTATGAAAGAAGAGTCATCTTTATTTTATCTCTTTATTGGGTCATGTCAAAGCAGAAATCGCCTAGCTTCTTCCAAATAGACCATCAACGTAAGCATTTATGTCATAGCACATCGGGTAAACATTTGCATATCTGTACTTTATGACTAAATATTCATGCATATGTGATTATAATACAGCTAATATAGGTCACATAAAAACCACTGTAGGTATTTAATGAATTTTACAGCAAAACTCAAACTTGTTTCTACCTAAATGGATGTATTGAAAGCACTTCTTTTGTTTTTCAGACAGGGCCTTGGCTCGAGCTTCCTGCCACCAGGAGAAACCGCAGGGCACGGCGAGCTGCTCCCGCCAGACAGCTTGTACTCGAGCAGGGGACTCTACGCTGACGACTTACCCTCGTCTGCCAGACCGCGTCCAGTGGGCGGGGCTACAGGTACACACAACGTGCATTAGGACTACAATGAATCACTAATGTTGCTGAGTTCACACTTGCACTAAAAACATGGACAAGAAAGTGAAGGCAAATGTCTGTTATCTTTATAAATAATAATTGTTGAAGGTCACCTCTAAATGTAAGCCACAGCACAGCTCATTTGTCTTTTTCAAGTTGTTTTATTTAAATTGTATTTACTAGCAAATAAACTATAGAAATGGTAATTAACTGTTGTCAAAAAGGCTGCAAGTACAAAACCAATGAGAGTTTCAGCTAAACAAAATCCAGTAGTAATGCTGAAACTTATACCAAATATACAACTGATACAACTGCTAATACATCATTTGGATTAGCTAATTAATTATTTAGGCTTTGCATTATGTTTTTGGAACAATATGTGAAATTCATTAAATTTAAAATTGCTTTCATTCAGAAACAAAACACCAATAATCATGTCAAACTTCAAGAGCCTTGTTTCTCTCCTGCATTATTCATCAAGCTGATGGTGTTCTACCATCACCACGTGACCTACAGTAATATAAATGGATTGTGGCATTTGGCATGTTGAGCACTTTGCAGAGTGCTTTGTAGACTTTGTTGATTGCATCAAAGTATATTTGAGGGTCTGCTGAGGAGTGTCAGATAAATTGTCTCTGCTGCTCTGAACGTGTACGTGTGTGTTTCCAGGTGGCCAGCTCCATCATCTCACTCAGATTGGCTTGTCCAGCCGAATGAACGGTTACCCAGCAGGAATCAGGGCTGCTCCAGGCCAGAATGGGGGTTCAGGCTGGAACCATTACCATGACAATTTCTCCAGAGCAGAAGTAGAGAAAGATATAGTAAGTAAATCTCAGATTTAATTGTTTTAGATTACTGTAAAGATCTTGGTTTTTTGTTGTTGTTGTTGTTGTTTGGAAACCATTTATTTTTATTTCAGTCAGCATGGCTCTGTGCTTACATCCCACCTTACTTCTTTACATTTTGCTTCCAGCAAATCAGACTTGTTTAAAACGTTTTCACTTTCCTGGTATTTACTTTGAACATTATTTTTAGTCTAGTCCAGGGATTTTCAACGTTTATGATCAGAAGAACCATTTCTGCCCCTTTGTTCACTAAATTAAACGTGTCCGGAGCCACAATATCTGCTACAACTGTGGCCCACGGACCACTTTAAGTTTGTTGGAGGGCGCTTTTCTGGAAAGTAGGGGTGATTTTATAAAATTAAAAATATCTAATGATTTTTTAACATTTATTGATATTTTTACATCTAAGACAAAATAAAAGACGAGATTCTTGTAAAGGAAAAAATAATATAGTTTTTGCCCAGTTTCTAAAAACTAAAACAACAAACTATGCATTCTTATGTGATGTTTTTTTTAAACGGTAGAAAAATTACATCTTACTTTGAAGAAATAAAGTGAAACTGAGTTTGTTTTACTCCTTGTAATGATTTTAGTATTCATATATTTGCTAAATAAATTACAGGAAAACTGCTAAAACTAGCCCTTTTAGTTGTTAGAACAACCAATAAAATTCAGTTTTATGTTAGTTTTGGTCAAAGCTTGAAAGAGCCGCTGCAGAGGGACCAAAGAGCCGCATGTGGCTCCAGAGCCGCAGGTTGCAGACCCGTGGTCTAGTCCAATACCTGAACATTTTGAGAAATGCTTCTGTGTGGCTTGTGAAACATCCATCCATTATCTTTCACCCGCTTCTTCCTGTTCGGGTCACGGGGGTCACTGGTGCCCATACCCAGCTGTCACTGTGTGAAGGGTGGAGGACATCCTGGACAGGTCGCAAGTCCATCACAGAGCGACTTGTGAAACATTCAAACATAAAAAAGCATCAAATTTCAGGAACAAGCTGTTTTTGTTTTTTGGGGGGTTTTTTTATTTAAAAAAAATCTTAAAACACTTTGTTACTAGAAAGCTGTCACAAAGAAATATAATTTCTATCCATTTTTTTAGGCTACGTTAACAAAAATACCAACAATAAGAACATTTTAACTGGCTTGAAAGAATATTTATCACAAGCTAAATCATTCCCAAATAACTGTTAGCTGCATTTAGTTCGTGGACTCTTCTGACCTTTGGTCCTTTTCTGACTTCCAGATGCTCAGAGGTGGAACCCGGGAGCCCACAGCCCCTCCTGCTCACGTAGACACTTCAGGGGTGGCCTATCTGACAGCTCAGCAACCCCTCGACACGTCTCCTCCCACACACTCCTCTGCGTCCTTGATCAAGGCCATCAGAGAGGAGCTGTTGCGTCTGTCCCAGAAACAGGCGGCTGTCTCCAGCTACCACAGCTGAAGCCCCAGCTTCAAGCCTTCGGCTCCTAACCAGTCTGTTCACTGAATGTTTTGCCTAATCCAACAATACTTCCCATGGAAGTTCCTGAAACTGCACAGCAGAGAGTTTTTCCTGCTAAACTGACGTGAAGAGGTGGCCCCTCTGACGTTTGTATCTGAGAAGACTTATTGTAAAAAATGGTAAAACTGTTGGGAAATGTTCTGAAATGGGTGTCAACATGAGTTGTATACAGAGTTTAGAGGAAACAGATGTGTGGACTAGTGGTACCTGTGTTTTTGTCTTACACGTCATAGTGGATCAGAGTGGGATAAATACAAGCATTCACCACTAAAGATCTACACGTTGGACTTCTTAGATCCCACTGTATTACTTCAGACCCAGTATTCTAAGACCTGTTGTGTTTTAAGTTGCCTTCACAAACACCTTCTGAGACTCGCTTCTTTTAGTTTCATGACTTCAAACTGCCATGGCTGTATTTTTGTTGTTGTTGTTTTGGAAGGCTCTTAACTTCTTTTTCACCATTAGGTGCTCCTTCTGTTTTCTGTCACGATGAGTCTACATAGACACTGTGATGGAGTCCACCTGACCATATCTGCTGACTGAGCCCAGTCCCAGATCAGTCAGAGGGTTAATGTGGCGTCCATCAGGGCACTAAGGGATACTATACTCTATTCATTCATTTGTTCCACAGTTTTTAACTGTATTCATCTGGGTTGTACTTTATGATCAAATAACTTTTAAGTGCATGCTTGTTTTTCAGGTTCAAACTCCTGTGTTGCTTTAAGTTTTTTTATTTATGTTTTGTAACTAACAGGTACTCAAACAAAACTAAATGGCCTTGAAGGAAACCTTTAAAAGTAATTTTTTGAAACAGGATTTGCAAATAAATGCCAGTGTGTGCTGTATATATATATAAATATATTCAGTATTTTGCTGTAATTTGAAGCAGTGTATGCGGACTACTTGCCACAGCTCAGGTCTTTTGAAAAGAGGTTATTTGCAGAAAAATCTGTAAAAAGACATGTTTAAGTGTCATGTGAAAGAAGGGTAAAGTGATAAATATGAGGATAAACACCAGATCTGTCTTTTGAACAAAGTTCTGTACCACGTCAGCATTAATACATTACTTACAACTCATTTTTGTGCTTTAAGTTGCTGTTTTGCCTCATGCACTTATGTCACCTCAGTGTATTTTTTAATTGTCAACCGGTAAAATAACACTCATACACAACAATGCATTTTTTTAACATGGCAATCTCTTGGCATAATTTATACTATTTTGAGTCTCGAAGTGTTTATTTATTCAAGTGAAATAAAAGTTAAAAATATGGATTTTAAATGTGGGTCTCGAAAATTTCTTCTTTGAGAGTGGCCCACTTTTTAGTGGAGGGTTATAAATGTTTGTCTGCATACTTCCTGTTTCGTTGTGAGATCTGCTCCTCTGTGATGGGCCTTTTGGGATGAACCGAACGAGTTATTCGTTACAGACATTACTGGTCAGTTCTGCAGAACTATCGATTAATCCATCAACTTTTACCAGCAAACAGTCCAAATATCCACAATGGTCTGCAAAGGTTCCCAACCCAAGTCCTGAGGAGCACCGTCCAGTTTTTTCTCTGCTCCGATACACCTGATTTTAATAAATGGGTGATTTGCAGGCTTCTGCAGAACATGAGGAAGTAATTAGGTCACTATCAGGTGTGTTGGAGCAGGGAAACAACTAAAACATGCAGGATGGTGTTCCTCAAGGACCTGGGTTGGGAACCACTGGATAACATCAGTGACAGTTCTGTATGGCGTCACCTCCATGCGCATGCTGTGCTACAACACTCTGCCTCCATCTCCTGGCCCTGTTCTGAAACTGTGATATTGTGTCCATCTGCTGTTGCTTTTTGTTTTCCCCACTTTAACCTCTTTTCTACAACAACACGTTGGCTGGCCCAACTTTTCATTTAATTCATGTTGCATGTTTAATTGTTGAATTTCTCTGGTTTGTTTGTGTGCATGCTGTGTCAGACATCTTGAAATATATACCGTATATTTAAAAAAGCTATCAGTTCATGTGTGCATAGATTATACCCACAAATCAAATTTGAGTTAAATCAAAATTAATATTAAGTCCATTTGAAGGTAAAACGCTCGCATCATCTCGTGTCACTAAATAAAATCAGATGTAGTAAAATAAATCTAACTACCACAACTGACCACAAGGTGGCAGCCCATTACAAGAATTTAAAGTTTTTCTGCAGAAATGATGTGACTAATTTTTAAAAAATTGATGATGGAGGCTGTTAACTGAAGATAAATCATTTGTTTTAAAGCTACAAGAGGCTTTAGTGCAAACTTTTCATTTGAAACAATAAAAACATCAAAAGTATACACGAGTACACAATGTGGTATAACAAAAATTAAAACTAACTTGAATGTGTTAGGAAATTATACTTGTTTTCCCAGGCTTAGTGTTCCTTTATTCCTTCAACAATGCATATTGTCTGCTCTTTTATGCGAAAAAAAAAAAAAAAAAATTCTAAGACTAAACTATTTTAAGACCATTCCATGATGAAAAGGGGCAGAGTTGTATTTGATCAAACCTTTTAAACAAGATAATGCTAAATTTCAGGGGATATTTTCAGATCTCTTGTGATCTATTACCTCTTAAAACATGTTGAGGATGAGTCAACCACTATTTTGTTAAATATAGCTTAATATTTGTAAAACTGACTGATTTAGAGTTGGTTAATGTTAATTAGTTGTACTATCTTGAATTGAATTGACTTTAAAAAAAAAAAGAATCACTTGTTGATGTGTAACCAATGATTACTTTCTGAGAGTTTCAATAAAATCAAGCTAGTGGTTTGTAAGATATTTTGCTAACAGCCGGACTGGGTTGATACCACTCCAGAGGTTAATCAGTTTCCGATCTATTGACTTTCTATAGTTTTATTCAAATACAACCACTGCTACATGAAATATTTTACTATTGCTACAGACAAGGGTATACAAACAGGCAAAAACATCATAGTTTTGGGCAGTGGGCAATGAAAATGTTGCTAAAAACAAGCAGCATGTCATGAGCTACTTCCTGCTCCTCTCGTGTGTATAAAGCTGCAGGCGACGCAGATTTGTTGAGGAATGAATTAACTGGATTGTTGTTTTTAAAAAAAGGCCGAACTGAAACTAATGTTGGAAAAACAATAGCTATAAGCTAAAATCAGCAACTAAAAACTAATTGTTGCTCAATTTTCATTCAACCTTTATTTATGCAGGTTAATCCCGTTGAGCCTCGGGGACTCATTTACAAGAGAGACCTGATTTTAACAAAGAGTGATGACAACAGTGACAACAACAGACAATCATAAAGGATGCATACAAACTAATAATTTTTTTAAAATTATTATTAATTTTATTATTGCCAAGAACCAAACCTAACAGAACAGTAGCTAAAAACTTAAATTAGCAAAACCTTAACCAAAAGCCAAAATAATCAAAAGCACCGCTAAAATTTACAAAATTGCAGCTAAAATCTAACATTAACAAAATGCCAAAAGCTAAAACAAGTAAAACTGTAGCTAAATACTAAATTAATATATGGCTAAAAGCTAAAATGAGCAAAACAGTGGCTAAAACATAACTAAACAGTCAAATTTGCAAAACCATAGTTAAAAACTAAAATTAGCCAGACAGTAGCTAAAAGCTAAAAAATAAAAATAAACAGTGCAACTGTGTTGAAGTAGATTTTTGAGGACAATGGTTTTGAATGAATTGAAGTGACATTGATACGTTTCTATGGGGTAAACTTTTTAAAGAAAGTTAAATATTTGAAAAAGCATAAAAGTTACAAACATTAATAGTCACAGTAACACATTATTCCTGATCGAGCAGAGCATTTTGACGTGTGGGTCTGGGAGAAACTACAAGCAGGAAAACAACATGACTGTTTAAGCAGCATTCATGCTTTTAGTCATAGAATAGTGGGGTTTTTATTATTTGAGGAGCCCAAAACATTACCAGCTGGCGTCTTTGTGTGTCATTGTTGTTTCTGAAGTTCCTTCTGTGTCACAACAAAAAAAAGTTTCTTTCATACCACACTGTCTGCCAAGAACCAAAATTACAACAATTCTCTCCATGCGCGCACTTTAATTTTGTCAGATGTAAATTCATTTCATTTATTTTAAGTCACACTGATTGATCACTCCCTTCATTCTTGACATTTGTCTCTGATTTAACGTTCCCTGGAGTTGATTATAGTGGAAGTTGAATCGTTTTTCTTTCTCTTGTCTCTCTCCTGCATCCTGCAGACTTTGCTGAGTGCTGCTCCCTCTCTGTGCGGTCCAAACCCCCTCACCCACCTCCTGAAGAAGTAATCCTGTCTGTCCAGTCCAGCCCATCGCAGCACAACAGGAGCACGCCCAAGAGTTAATCTGGATCATGATGGTAATTACTGCCGGGGTGTCCAGCTTGTAAGAGGGTATTGTACAGGGAGGAGTCAGAGCTGCAGTTCTACCCACTGACCTTGTGAGAAAACAGTGAGGGTGGGAGAGGAGGGAAGGGAGGAGAGAAACTCAAGGAGGCAGATCCAGGCATTAGCACACTGACAGAGTTTCAGCACTGCAGATCTGTCTCTCTGTCTTCAGCCGTCCTCGTTTCCAGTGCGCTCTGGTGAAAGACGGCCAGTCGAGGAGGACAGTGAGGAGGATCAGTGTGACAGAAATCCTTTGAGAGAAGAGGATTTCCTTCCTTTCCAGTGATTCCAGCACAGATTTGTGAGTAGGCTGCTATCAGTTTGCCATTCACTGCTGTGACTGCTGGTGTGTCTTCATGTGTGGCTGTATAGAAGTCACAGCTCAGGAATGTCTGCATGCAATGGGCTAAATTTCTCAATCACAATGCAACAGACAGCATGTCTGTCTATGACTGTGTTCGGAACCATATGAGCTCTCCTGGGGCTCCCTTGATGCAGTCTGATGTTTGTGTGCTACGTGAGCAACTGTCTATCCAAGTGTTTATGTGCTCCATAGCAGGTGC